GAGGGTGGCGCGAAGCGAAGCGCCGGGAAACTGCCGAGAGAGGGGAGGCTGAGCAGCGTGTCCTCAGCGCTCCCAGCGCCCGAACCGGCCCAACCCACGGCCGTTCGGACACAGCCACGGGGACTGGGCCTGACCTACGTGGCCCCCAAGAGGCTGGAGAATTCTCCCCGTTCTCCGAGGCGCGGAAGGTTTGGTGTAACCTGACTGACGCCTGGCTGGGGGCCTCCTGCCAGCGGCAGGGGGGGGGGGACGCTGGAGGTTACACGGATTTAACGAGCACCATGGAACCGATGGCCTAGCGTGAAGATGCTGTGCAGCTGGAGGTGTCACACTGGGATCAGACTAACATCTTGAGGTCCCAGCGACAAACGGCCAGTAACAAACCTGAAGCACTTTTCTCCAAACACTGAGCATCAAAGTCTGGTTTGGCAAATCCAGTTTTCTCCACCTAAGCTCCTGATGGAGCATCGGATGAAGACAACGTGCTTCCCTCCCTGCCGGAGGTAAGAGCTGCCAGTGCGTTTTGGTGGTGGATTGAGCTTTTTTGTCTACTGTTTCAAAGAAACCAGGTTTGTGGAAGGAGGCAGTACCTTTCATTAGGCCAACCAACACGGCTGGAAAAGCAGGCGAGCTGTTGGCTGCTCATTTTTATCTTTAAACCACCGCAGCAACAACAGCACCGTAGTTCTGAAGTGCGTCGAGATGGAAGGGGCTCTGCGGCACTCCCCCAGTGCCTTTTGGTTTGGCCTCTCGATCCCTGGGCACCGGGAGCCACTTCACACCCCTCTTACCTCAGCAAGCGCTTCTGCTTCTAGAGATTTCTGATCTCCGAGACTACTGTGTCTAGTCGATCCACAGGTCGATCTCAGCGGGTGGCCATCAGACAAGGCCTTCCTGTCTGGGAAATTGATGCTGCCTGCACTGCCGAATGTCGCCATTCTGCGCTTTTCGGGACTCTCAATCCTGCCCCTGTTAAGAGGTATTTTGTGGGGGCTGCTAGGGCAGGCCGCTGCTCGAGGAGGAGTGTCTAGGCCAGGCCCCATCCCTCGGGGCGGGCTGTGGGTGTCCCCCCCGCTTCGACGGCGAGGGATAGCTGCACCGTCAGACCTCAATCTCACTCTGCAAAGAATCCATCACAAGACTAGGTCACCGTCCGTCAGATCGAAAGCGTCTGGTTGCATGCTGCAAGACAATTGCTCAGCTCTGAGAGTTCAGATCAAACCAAACTCGAGCCTTTCAGCTCCAGAAGATTAAGGCAAGAGGGCAGATAGACATTTTAGCCAGTGCCAAGGAAAGGACAGCATCGCACCTTCTTTACTTGTTAAGATCTGCATCAGCAACGCGCACGAAAACCCCCTCCATGCTCACATCACTCTGCAGTGCTTACTGGAGCCTCCCCTTCTGTCTGGCCCTACACCCCACACTGACTGCCCCCGCACGCCACAGCATCCACCTCTGTGCCACAGGAAAAGGAGAGCTTCCCTACCGGCCCATGACTCCCCCAAAGCCATAGTCCACAATATGATCCGTCGGGGACTGGATGTCGTTCTTGGAGGAGGCTTTATCATCCAGCAGCGGCCCGCTGCTTGCCTCGCTGTCCGCCTTCTGGCTCAGGCTGTCGGAGAACGCATCATCCCTAGGAAAAGGGGACCCCCATCAGCAACAGGGCCCTGCCCCCGGAGAGAGGCTGGGGGGGGGCCAAGGTGGACCTGAACACCACCACCCCAGCAGCTCCAGACTTTGTCAGCAGAGGGCTGGACCAAGGCCACCACTGCAGACAGCACCTGGAGCCTGGAGAAAGCAAACATCACGTCTCATACCCCCCTGTGCTGCCTTTTTAACGAACCCAGGTGCGGTGCTTGTAACAGAGGTGGCACCGGCGAAGGACCCTGGGACCTGCCTGCAGGCCAGGCGGGCACCCAACAAGGCCGGGACAATGCAGAGGGAGCAAGGCCAATATGAAGCCTGGGTCGTGCCACTTTGAGGAGTCAACAGCAGATGGGGTTCAGGCACACCGAAGTACAGGCTTTAGTGCTTGGCTTCGTCAGCTTGAACGAGAAAATCTGAGCCAATGCACGGAGAGGCAGACGTGAACAGGGCCAGATTTCTCACCAAAGTCATTAAACCCGGGGAAATCTGACCGCCTGTTTCAGGTGGCTAAAGATGGGCCTCATGTAGGTGTGTTTTAACGTCCTGGATCAACACACACCACTTTACTCACATGTCTTGCACCACAATGTACTGGTGGGGTATGAGGCCATCCACACCATTATGTCTCCCTTCCCACCAGTCTTCTGATGCCCGATGGTACAGGAGGAGCGAGGCCCCTTTCTTAAAGGAGAGCTCTCGTGGAGATCGCCCAATGTAGTCAAACTTTGCGATGGCTTCAATCTGCTCCACTTCTGCAAAGGAGAGAAGCACAGAGAAAAGTTTAGTTCAACAGTCACCAGGGTGCACCACATCCTAGAAGGAGGCATCTCACCAGAACAGCACTGATGCTGCTGCCCTAGCTTCCCAACACCATCTTACACCGGGTACAAACCATCTTATTTTTAGACTGATCATTCTTTTTGTTCTTCCAGTCTTCCTGGAATTTCTCACAAACTACCAGCAATTACAAAAAGCTACAGACCAGATGGGGAGTAGTTGAAGTTTCCCTTGTGCATATGGCATCGTCACCCGCACTCCCATCTTCTACCTATGAAGTGATTTCTTTGGTTACAGAACCCCATTATCCTCCAGACTGGGCCCTTGTTAAGCTGTGTCAGATACTGTGATCAAAGCCCCGCTTACCTTCTCTTCCTTTTCTTACCCTGCAGACAGTTTGGTATGAATTATTGACGAGTAACGAATCCCCCTTTGGGGATCCCCACAGAAATGATGATACTGGCTCTGACCAGGCAGCTGCTCCCCATCACAGCCCCACACCTGCAGACCTTCCAGCACTCTACCTCACCACTTCTCCACTTTTTCTAATTTAAGCTCTACCAAACACCAGGGATTCACAAACTGGGAGCTCAGGCCCTGAAACTCAAGAGGGCTGAGGCAGGACTTCACTTCGGGAGGTTGTGAGCACACCAGGAGCCTCTGAGCCCCTGGCCAAGGGCATCACAGCGGGAGCTGCTGGTGCACCCGAAGAGGAGCCAGTTGGCACCAAGGAGCCCGTGGGGGAGCCCAGCTCTTCAGCAAAGCTGTTCCCAGCTGGGAGCACCAAATCCCAGAGAAACCGCTGCAGCGACTGCAAGGCAGCAACAGCATCTCTCTCCGCGCTGGCAGGAGCAACCTGCACTCCGCCTCACTTCGCTCCGAGACAGGGGTGAAAAAGCAGGCTGCCACCACTCAGCTACCTCTAGCCACTATCAGAGCCAGTGAGCAAGCGGTTAATGTACCTTGATTATCCGAGACACCTGATCATTTTAAAGCCCACCTGGAGACCGGCAGACAGGGGACAACAAAGCTAAACAGGGCAAATCCGCCCAGTTCCTCCAGATCTGCCACGTGCTCATTAAAACACGGACAATTGCTCTGCTCCATCTGCCTCGTCACCAACCACGGGCTCGGCATCAGCAGCAATCGGGATGTGACCTGTCACTCTGCTCGGTGACAAAATCCACACAGAGGAGGAGACACCGGAGGAAGATGCGGGAGATGCTGAATCAGACCCCTGCCCCCTTCCTCGCCTCGTGTGGGACAGGACAGGTCGCTTCAGCACCGCTTTTCCCCAGCTTAAAATACACAGCCACACCAAGAGGAGGGGCAGAGTGTTTGGGAGCACCACAGCAGGATCAGCGGGGAATGCTCTGGAGGAAACGCAGCTGGGGAGGCAACCAGGAGGGCTCTCACAGCCCCAACACAGCGTTGAGTTTCCCAGCAGGGAGGGTGCACAGGGCGAGGGGAATAAGGAGCGGGTACACTCACAAAATAAAGCCGCTCCTCTTCTCTACCCTTGCACCACAGCTAATCACCCAGAAACTCCAATCAGAGCTTTTAACGTGACCATCCGAGCATAAAATTGGCTAAGCAGCAGCTTGCTCTCCTCCATCTCCCAGTCCTGTCGGCTCCTGCCTGCAGCTGAAAGCAGGTCCCGAGCTGTCCGGCCCTGCGGCACCCCTCCCCTGCTGCCCGCCGTGC